AAGCACTGTACTATACTTGTCTAGACCTTAGGTGACAGGCACACACAGAACTAGCTAAATGCACACAAAAACGCATGCATTCCTTTTTGCACAGTTGAGTCCATTTTAATGAAGGTATGCCCAGTGTGGTGGATGGAATGCATTCTGTGTTCCAATGGGTTGGGTCTGTCACCGGAGCAGTTACTTTCGTGGTAGCTCTTGCAGTAAGCCTTGCATGTTCTGCGAATGATGGAGCTATACCAGAAGCTTCTCTAGGGGGAGCTAGCAGCATTTGGTACAGGAAGATTCAGTACTGGATTATAAAGTTGCTGCAGCCTAGAAGATCGACCACTAATGCTCACACAAAGTGTGCTACTTCACACTAAACTGGCTTTCATGCCCAGTGTGCCCTAAGCATTTCCAAAACTTTTTTTTTTTGAGACAGAGTCTCACTTTGTCACCTAAGCTGGAGTGCAATGGCGCCATCTCAAGCTCACTGCAATCTCCACCTCCCAGATTCAAGCGATTCTCCTGTCTCAGCCTCCGAAGTAGCTGGGATTGCAGGCATCTGCCACACACCCAGCTAATTTTTGTATTTTTAGTAGAGACAGGGTTTCACTGTGTTGGTCAGGTTGGTCTTGAACCCCAGCCCCCCTTAGCCTTCCAAAGTGCTGGGATTACAGGCATGAGCCATTGCACATGGCCACATTTTAAAAACTTTATGAGATTTCTACATAGTAATATTTTAGTACCTCACCCAATAGACCACCTACTCTTTTCTCCTCCTTTGCCTTAATCAGTTTTTGCATTTAAAAATTTTTACATCTATACATATTTTATTGCATTTTAGGTTCTGGGGTACATGTGCAGAACATGCAGGATTGTTGCATAGGTACATACATGGCAATGTGGTTTGCTGCCTCCATCTCCATCACCTATATCTGGCATTTCTCCCCATGTTATCCCTCCCCAACTCCCTACCCTCCACTGTTCCTCCCCAGTCCCCTCCTACAGACCTCAGTGTGTGATACTCCCCTCCCTGTGTCCATGTGTTCTCATTGTTCAACACCTGCCTGTGAGTGAGAACATGTGGTGTTTGATTTTCTGTTCTTGTGTCAGTTTGCTGAGAATGATGGTTTCCAGGTTCATCCATGTCCCTGCATTTTTAAATTTTTTAACCCATTTCTAAAGAAGATAAGAAATAATGTCAATAGAATATGTTGCAGAGGAAATTTCATGGAGTGGATTTGATAGAGCACAAAATAAAAATAGGAGTCCCTCCATCTCCCACCCTGTGCCAATTATGCTTCCCTTGATGGGCTTATACTAAGGAATAAATTTTAATTTTTTTCTAAGTATACATGTAATTACCCATTTATTTTTTAATTTTGACAAGATTCAATATGGGAGTACAGCAAATAATTTCCCCCAAAATCAGAACTTTACTTCTACTAAATTGACAGCCATCTCCATGATTTAATGTCTTGACTCTCAAAAAATACAGTAATTGGAAAAATCCCTTTACAATCCCATGGTTATATTTGTATATGATATTGATTCTCCAATCTTGTATAGAGGTTATGATGTAAGAACAGCTATTCTTAAAAACATAAAGGTACTTAATGTATGATTTCATTTCTGTAATATTTTTGAGGTGAAAATTTTTAGAAATAGAGGACAAGGGCCGGGCGCGGTGGCTCAAGCCTGTAATCCCAGCACTTTGGGAGGCCGAGGTGGGTGGATCACTAGGTCAAGAGATCAAGACCATCCTGGTCAACATGGGGAAACCCCATCTCTACTAAAAATACAAAAAATTAGCTGGGCATGGTGGCGTTTGCCTGTAATCCCAGCTACTCAGGAGGCTGAGGCAGGAGAATTGCCTGAACCCAGGAGGCGGAGGTTGCGATGAGCCGAGATCGCGCCATTGCACTCCAGCCTGGGTAACAAGAGCAAAACTCCGTCTCAAAAAAAAAAAAAAAAAAAAGAAAGAAAGAAATAGAGGACAAATGATACGTTGCCAGAAGTCAGGGTGGGAACAGAGAGGAAGGTAAATGTGGTTATAAACAGGTACCTTAACGGGATCCTTATGGCATCAGACCTGGTCGGTATGTTGATTGTGATGATAGATGCGTCAATCTACAGGTAATAAAATTGCATAAAGCTAAACATATACACACACAGTGAATACAAGGAAAACTGGTGAAATCTGAATAACATTGGTGGATTGTATCAATGTCAATATCCAATTGTGATGTTACCAATTGGGGAAACCAGGCAAAGTGTAGAAGGAAACTATGAGAATCTACAAATATCTCAATAAAAATTTCATTTAAAAATCCAGTAAAAGTCTCGTCAATCCAGAGACAATAAGAGATAATACAAGACCTTCAGGGAGAGGATAAGAGTCCCATTTTAGTCTCAAAACTCTTGAGATTTCATGGGTGAAAGACCAAGGACACACTCATAGCAGCTGATTGTGCCAGGTAAAATGGCACTGCCAGTGTTGCTTCTCAATCTCCTAGCTGTCTGAGCTGCAGTGTAAAGATGTCTGCAAAAGCGGAGAGAGAACAAGGGCATGTGCTGGACCTCACCATCCCAAGAACAATACAACTCAAAAGTGTGTAATCAAACAGCTAGAACACATATTCACAGGCTACAAGCAACAGACTTGCAGAAAAGTAATTGTGTACTTATTATTAGCTTCCCTGTAGGCTCCATGAGGAAAGGAAAAGGCTGTATCAGTCTTGTTCACAACTATATCTTAGCTCCTAGCACTATGCTGGGTACATAGAGGCTGATCAATAACATACTTGTTAAATGTTTTTGAATGAAAACAAGAAAAGCCCATGTGGCCTGTCAATATGGCTTCTCTCTTCCTTCTTTCCAAATCTCCCTTTCCCACTCTCTCCTCACCCTCCACCTATACTTAAGCACATACACAGAAACAGTTGTTTCTGCCACATGCAAGTCAGGCCATCATTTAACCTCTCTGTGCCTCAGACTCCTCATTTATAAAATGAGGACAACAATAATAACTACTTCAAAGGGCAGCCATGAGGATTAAATGAATGCAAATTTGTAGAGCACTTACAGTATTACCTGGCTTGCAGCAAGGGCCATGTAAGCGTTTATTAAACTACAGTGCTATCCAAAGTTAGCACAGATTTCAGAAGTCAAAACATGATTCTCCTCAAGACGGCCCTTCAGACACCCGCCACAAGCTCTGGGGTTCCCAGGTCACCTGCACTTCTGACTAGCTGTCTCTGTCATATGCCCAGGGCCTGAGCACTGACTGCTAGGGAGTCTCAGTTCTCACCCATGCAGCTTCTCTCTACACATGATGTTTCATTGCTATTTGCTTTACTTCCTCAGGTTTCACAGAATGACTCGTAGAACTCAAGAAAGTGCTATCCTTCCAGTTACAGTTTTATTATAAAGGACACATATCAGGACCAGCCAAATGAAAATCTGCATAGGGAGAGATGTGGGAACTTTCCCAAATAGAAGCTTATGTGTCCTCAGGAACGCTTCACCTTCCAGGCACTTTGTTGAATGATTACCAACCAGGAAGATCACCTGAGCTTCCATGTCCAGAGTATTCACTGGGGTTCCATTATGTAGGCATAGTTAATTAAATCATTGGCCACATGGCTCAACTCAATCTCCAGCCCCAATCTGCTCCCCAGAGGTGGGCCTGGTTATGTGGCTCAAAGCCTAAGCCCCCTAATCACATGGTTGGCCCTTCTGGCAAGGCTAGCCTCCATTCTGAAATCATCTTGGGTCTTCCATGAGTCATCTTTTTAACATAAACTCAGATGTATTTCCAGAGGCCCACCGTGAATAACAGACACTCCTATCACTTGGGAAATTCCAAGGATTGACGGTACTTCCCAGGAACCAGAATCAAAGTCCAGTCAAATTCTTTATTATAGAGCATAAAGTTTACTGAATTGAACGGGGAGAAGGAGCAAGAAAAGCATTCTAGGAAACAGGTGTCTAAAAAGAAAGGCAAGAATAGTCTGCGACTCTCATGGCTTAGTAGGGAAACAGCCCCCAGCTGATTGGCTTTGCTATACAATAGTCCTCCTTTAGCTGAAGTTTCACTTTCTGTGGTTTCATTACCTGTAGGACAGTACGATAAGATATTTTGAGAGACCACATTCACGTAACTTTTAAGTTGTTCTATTATTCCTAGTTTATAAATTAAACTTTATCATATGTATATAAAGGAAAAAACACAGTATGTACCTGATTCGGTACTATATGCAGTTTCAGGCATCCACTGGGGGTCTTGGAATATATTTCAGCAGATAAGGGAGGACAACTGTACTGGAATGCACCAGCTTTGAGTCAAATAACGAGGGCTCTGAGTTTAGTTCCAATGTTCAAACACCTTCCTATTCCAGCAGCATCCGCCCTGATCCAGCATGGCGGCACGAGCTTCTGCCAGTTCACACCCTGGCTACACAGCAGGCGCCTTTCCGGAACCGCCCTCTGGGTGGATTCAATTTCTCCGTCGCCCTGTGATGACGCAAAAAACCCCAGGGCGCATCTTGTAAGCTGGCAGCCACGTTTGCGCAGGCGCAGCGCGGCCGCGGGTGGGCGGAACCCGTCGGGATGAGTGGCGGAGCGACAGAGACCCCTGTGGGTTGTGAGGCCGCCCCGGGCGGTGGCAGCAAGAAGAGGGACTCCCTGGGAACCGCGAGTTCAGCGCACCTCATTATCAAGGGTACGGAGTGTCAGAGCTGTAGTTCCTGGTGGATCCCAGCGTAGCCTCAGCTCCCAGGCGGCGCCCTCTGACCCGGGCCGACCCCGGCTCCCAGGCTGGCGCGCGTGCGTTTGTGCGGGGCAGGGGAGTAGTGGTCGGTACCAACCGTTTTCCCCGCGCCAAATGCGTCCCACTGCAGCCAACCAGCCCAACTCCTCGTGCTTCCTCGCTTTCCTCTGCCGTAGCCTGAGCTATTAGGCCCGCCCCAGTCTATTCCCCAAGCTCAGGACCTCTGGGGGTAGAACCTCTTTGGGTAACCTCGCGACCGACGTGTAGTGTAAAGGTCACTGGATCTGGGCGGCGGGAGGCAGACGCTTAGGAGTTGAGTGACTTCGGGTCATTGACTTTGTCCACTCTCCTACCCGGTCTGTTCCTGGTGGTGCGAGAAGTAAGTAAGATACATTTATGAAAGTGCTAGATGACACCGTAAAGAGCCATTCACGTTTAGAAATGTACATGTGTCCTGTGTGCTTTGAGCTGCAAGGAGGTTACAACCTAGATAGTCACGGAGCTGGCATTAGGTTTGATTCCTAAAGCTCACAACGCTGTTTCCTGCGGGAAAGTCTTTGACAGTTGAGTTGTAGTTCTTTATATAGACCGGATAGTTATGTACAGTGCTTGTATTCATTCGTGTTTTTTCTACTTGGCATACTTAAGAAGATATGTCCTAATAAAATTCACTAAAATCTGCGCATCATATGTCTGCAAAAATGAAAAATTTGGTGAATGAACTTGAATAATAGATATTCTTACTCAGATTTAATTTCACAAAGAATTTTGAGATTTACATTTTAAACTACATAGTTATAACTAAGAATCATAAACTGACTCACCAAAAGACTTAAATTTAGACCTTTATTTCTTAAAGACTTTTTCAGACTTATGAGAACGAGACTTACAATGAACATTCACCACCCACCTTAATAAACAATTAAAAGCCCCACTGTGTCTTCCTCTAATTGCACTCATTCTCCTCCCTCCTCTCAAGGTAGCCAGCATCTGCAATTTGGTGTGTATTATTATTATGCATTTCTTTGTAGTTCTGTTGCCTCTATATCAAAAGGAAGTATTCTGAATATTTTAGAGGTTTATGTAAATGGCTTTAATCCTTCTGAAACCTGCTTTTTAATTATATTTATTATAAAATATGTATTACATTGTTTATTATATTTATGTTGATAAGTATAAGTCTGGTGTATTTTTAGTTGCTGATTTATAGAATTCCGCTGTATGAGTATGATGAAAGTGTTTCCCTTTTTTTCTTTTGATATTACACGAATGCTGTAATAAACATGTATAAATGGCCTTATTCATTTGTGCAAGAGTTTTCTAGGCTACACACCTGTGTGTGAAAATCTTAGGTATACAGGTCTTCATCTTTATTAGATATTGAAAGATTGTTTTGAAAAGTAGTTGTATCAGTGTACACATTAACTAGCAGTGGATGAGATTTCCTCTTAGTCCATAGTCTAAACTTTATTTTAACCTTCATATCTTCGTGGGGAAGGGAGAGAATAAAACAGGCTAGAGATTATGCCATTTACCATGGATTAACCCTGAATTTCATTTTATCTTTATAGATCTTGGAGAAATTCATTCAAGGCTTTTGGATCATAGACCAGTTATTCAAGGAGAAACTCGTTATTTTGTAAAAGAATTTGAAGTGAGTATTTAAACTTATATTATAAAGTACTTCCCCAATTGTTAGTGTGTTATTATACAGAAGAGAAATTCCCCAGTTTTAAAATCCGATTTCAGTTTATATGTTCATAAAATACCTGAAGTAAAAATTATGAAGAAGTAAAAATGCTTGTTTCTAGTGGGATAGGTTCAAGACTAAACAGCGGGAGACATAAGTTCTAGTGCCTGCTCTAGGGTATTTCATGTCTGTTGATCATGGGTGTTTTTAATATATAAAATGAGATATCGTGAGGAAAAAAAAAAGGGATTTTAGAGATTGATGGGTCTGAGTTTTCCAGACCCATTTTCTGTGTTTTTTTTCCTCAATTGAGACATCAGCAGTCACTAAGCAGTCAAATTAAAACTTGTGAATTATCCTTGGCTATTTCCTTTCTTATAGGTTCCATATTCAGTGACCACATCTTCTAGATGTTACCTAGTGGTTACCTCTTAAATGTCCATTCTGTCTGACAGGTGTGCTGGCTTTATCAACCAAGTCAAATCCAGTTTTCACCCTCCTGCCAGAGGAATCTAACATTATTTCACTTTTTAAAACCCTTTGGTAATATATCTGTCAGCAGGATAAAATCACAGCATTGTTCTGTGACCTGGCCCTTGCTTTTCTAGCTTAACCATCTGCCACTCTTTACCTTACATACTATATTCCAGCGATACTGATACATGAACATCCTGCTTCATATTGCTGTAGTTTTGTACATGTACAGTTGGTTCATTGTTCTTTGAGCAGTAACTTCTCAAACTACTGTTGGGATGGTAAATGGTGTTACACAAATAATTCTGTGATTCCGTGTAAGTTGGAGTTTTTTGCAAATGAGACTTACCAGTCAGGATGTATAAATATGCCGAAAGGAGAGAACCTTTTAGTAAACCCAGTTGTTACAGAGCAGTCAAGATAGAGGGCCAGAGCTGTTGCATTAAATAGGTAACCATTTCTGGGTGCAAAAGATGCTGTGACTCCCCCCAGCACAGTAGCTCACGCCTGCAGTCCCAGCACTTCGGAAGGCCGAGGCAGGAGTATCATGAGGTCAGGAGTTCAAGACCAGCCTGACCAACATGGTAACACCCTGTCTCTACTCAATATACAAAATTAGCCAGTTGTGGTGACTGGCACCTGTAATCCCAGCTACTCCAGAGGCTGAGTCAGGAAAATCACTTGAACCTGGGAGGCAGAGGTTGTAGTGAACCAAGATAGCACCATTGCACTCCAGCCTGGGTGGCAGAGCAAGACATCATCTCAAAAAAAATAAAAATAATAAGATGTTGTGACTCAAAAACTGCATAATACTTCACAGGGTATGTGCATCTTAGAATATTGTCTGGTACCTAGGAATTAACTAGGTAAATAACCAAGTTTCTTATACATGTTAATGTATAACAGATTATACGTGTTAACTGGCATGCATAATTGGTTCAGTTAATATGTTAATTAACGTGTATAATTGGGTCAGTTTACATGTTAATTAACATTGGTTCATTGTTCATTAAGCAATAAATTCCCACAATCTGATTATACCACATAATCATCTAAAATTTTTTTAAAGTCTTTTTGATCTTTTTAATCATTTATTTATTTGTCATTATTATTTATTATTCTTATTTGAAATAAGATTAATGTGGGAGAAAATTATCCAGAGACTATTCCCTTACCATGTGGTGTCAAGATGATTACCAATTCCTTAGTAAGAAGAAAGTGTAGGCCAGGCGAGATGGCTCACGCCTGTAATACCAGCACTTTGGGAGGCCGAGGTGGGCATTTTCACTTGAGGTCAGGAGTTTGAGACCAGCCTGGCCAACATGGCAAAGCCCCGTCCCTACTAAAAAAAAAATTTAAAAATTAGCTGGACGTGGTGGCATGTGCCTGTAGTCTCAGCTACTTGGGAGGCTGAGGCAGGAGATTCTCTTGAACCCAGAAGGTGGAGGTTGCAGTGAGCCGAGATCAGGCTGGTCTCAAAAAAAAAAAAAAAGGCTCTGTCTTAAAAAAAGCGAGGCTCTGTCTCCAAAAAAAAAAAAAAAGAAGAAGAAGGAGAAAGTGGAAATTTCTATACAAACTTGCTGTAAGTTTTTTTACAGTGTGTTGTATAAATATGTTTTTAAAATAATGTATTGTGTTTTCCATGTATAGAGTGTGTATTTAGTTCTTCTTAAATGTGGGAGTTATATTTTCTTCCTTTTACTTTATTTCAGCAACCATACTATCAGCAAATCTACCTCCAAAACATATCTTAAGTCATTCTACTTATCTTCTTGCCACTACCCCATCCCAACCCAGCTCACAGTAAGCCCTCACCTGGACATCTGCAGTAGGCTCCTACCTGGTCTCCTGAATTTCAGTCTTATCTCTGTGAAATAACCTTTCCTGTACAGTAGCTAAATGGTCTGTAACTCCGATCAGACCACACCCTTGCTTAGCCTCCTCCCACTGTGCCTTTTCTTTACAGGGACAGTGCACTCCAGCTCCTTGGCTGTAGTGAGGAATCCTGGATGATCTCTAACTTCATCTTGTCTTTCACACTTTACTGTACAAAACTCTTCACTCCTTGTGTTTCAGCCACAATGTTTCCTTTTTCTTTAACACATCACGATTGTTGCAGCATCAACAATTCCATCTTCCTAAGATGCTGCTACTGCTCAGTATTTGCATGGCTCATTATTTTGGTTTAGATTGCAGGTTAAATATCACCTCTGGCCCTTTAACCCAAAGCAGTCACCAGTACACTGTATCATGTCACCCTAATTTACTTCTATATGTAGCATTGTATTCATTTTCTAAGTCTGTATAATAATTTACCACAAATTTAATAAGGTCAAAACAGCTTACAGTATAGCAGCTGATTATATAAAGTCAAACAAAATGTGTTGAGCACTTATTTTATGTGAGGCATAGTATCAGGAACTGATGATATGCCAGTTAATAAGACAGACATAGTCCTACCCTTCATTCTTACAGTGCTTTGAAGAATGGTCTTTATTATTGAAGAGTGGTCTCTGAAGGGCTGAAGAACATTTCATCAGCTAAGTTTGAGTTGCTTTTCTTGAAAAGTACTGGACCCAGTCTTTTCACACAGTGACCAACACCAGACCAATTGGTCTTCCCTCCCCAGTGGGTCTTTCTGAGGGTTTAGAGTTACACAGTAACTTTCCTGTATCTCAGGTTCAACTGCCTTTTCTGTCTATTGCACACTAATATTTCCTCTCAAATTCGAAGAAAAACCTCAACTTGTTTTAGAGGCTTTAGGTTTGAATATGCATCTGCATTATTTATAATTCTTTTTTTTTTTTTTTTTTTTTTGAGACCAAGTTTTGCTTTCGTTGCCCAGACTAGAGTGCAGTGGTATGATCTTGGCTCACTCAACCTCCATCTCCCAGGTTCAAGTGATTCTCCTGCCTAATGTCCCAGGTAGCTGGGATTACAGGCATGCCCCACCATGCCCAGCTAATTTTGTGTTTTTAGTAGAGATGGGGTTTCTTCATGTTAGTCAGGCTGGTGTCAAACTCCTGACCTCAGGTGATCCTCCACCTCAGCCTCCCAAAATGCTGGGATTACAGGCATGAGCCACCATGCCCAGCCTATTTATACTTCTTTTCTGTCTTGGCTGAAACAGTGATATCAGATGTGGTCTTTGCCCTAAGTGGCATGGTTAGACAGACAGAGAAGAGTGGTGAAGCAGAGCTTATGGTACCTTCTGGAAGTTTTATCTTTTTATACCATTTAAATATAGGTCAGTTTAGGAAAAACTGGCTAGCCCTTAAAGCTCAAGTTGCTTATATGTTTAAAAAACTTAATGCCTATGGCAACAATGACCTCTTTCTTCATAAAATTTTATTTGTAAAAGAAGGGAATAAGTACCACATGGTGGCAGCATTACTTAAATTATTGAAGTACTATTCAGCTATTCTAAGGTCTCTGTTTGTTTTCATTAGTATTTAAGGCAGTTGACTGTCTTTATCCCGACTTTATCCAAACTGTTTTTCACTTGATTCCAAAGAACATTATGGACAGAGATTGCTAAGGATCTCACCTTTCAGGTGGAGCCCTTCCAATGAGTATTAATGTAATAGTATCAGTGGGCAAAAGCATTGTCCTCTGTGCCACTGTCTTTCTAGCCTTACAGGAACTTTCGGCCTTTCGCGTGTGGAGCAGAGCAGAGACTCATGGTAGGCAACAAGTATTTAGACATCCTTATAGAGTATATAGTCCTGTTAATTAATGTGTATAATTCAGTTTTTAGCAAACTTTATTCATGCAGTGCTTTATGGAATAGTTACTGAATACCTATGTATATCAGTAAGCAATGTGTTTAGTTAATAGTGACAGATATCTGAAAAATAGTGGATTTAACAAGTATGTAATTTTCTATCGCAATAATGCAGAGTTTACAGATAGCTTAGGGCTGGAATGGTGGCTCTGTGACATCAGCTTTTTCTTCCAGTTTTACCTTCTGTCCTCCTGGGATTGTTGCCTTTGTCCTTATGCTTACAAAGTAGCTTTTATTGTTTTTGTTTTGAGACAGGGTCACGCTCTGTCACCCAGGCTGGAGTGCAGTGGCACGATTATGGCTTCCTGTAGCCTCGACCTCCTGGGTTCAGGCAGTCTTCTTCCTTCAGCCTCCCAAGTAACTGGGACCACAGTAACCTGTCCTCTGAATGGAGCTGCATAGCTCCCCTCTCTGTTCTTAGTTGTGTTTGGCTTTGAATTGAGAGACCATTTTCTTGTACATGTAAATTAGTCTGCTATAAGGAATGCAGCAGTTTTCCCTATTCTCTCTTGATTCTTCCAGATTACAATGCCATGGCTGGCTAATTATTTATATTTTTATTTTTATAGAGACAGGGTCTCACTATGTTGCCCATGCTGGACTTGAATTCCTGGGCTCAATTGTTCCTTTCACCCCAGTCTCCAAAGTACTGGGATTATAAGCATGAGCCACCTCTGGGCCTGCAAGGTAACTTTTGGACCTCTAG